TGTTGGGAGAAGTGGGGGGGGGGGGGCAACCACACATGTTTTTTTGCATTTTTACTTTAATGTTTTTTTTAGACTGGGGTGCCTCGAGGTTTTGCATACTTTTAAAAGGTCCCGTGATTGAAAAAAGGTTGAGAAATGCTGCGTAGAGGTTAAAAAATGTAACCAATGCATACAGCAGTCCCCCGATTACCATGATAAATTAGATATAACAGTCAATATTTTTCAACTTGTTGATTTTAAGTAGACCTATGCCTGAAGTCCCCTCCCCAATTCATACCAGACCCTTTATTTCTGATAGGAATTTTAAGGGGGACCCAAATGCCAAAAATAAACACCCTTGATCTGAGCAGCAGCCTGGCAAAGCAGGAAAGCGGGGGCGGGGAGGAATAAGCGCGCTTGGAGAGATGGCTACTTTGCAACACACACAGGAACCATGAGTCCCAAAAGTAGCCACCCTCCAGAAAGAAGGACAGTGTCAGCACCAATTCAGAGATGATTTGAGGATCTAGAGCTGAGTGATACACAATAAGATCTTGTTAAGAGGAGTTTAGTGTCACTTTAATTATTTGAAACAAAACTCCCCTTACCCCCCACACAAAGTTTTGCTAAGTGATTAGGAACGTGTAACAAATATAAAGACGGTGTTATTGCAATTTGGCTGCAAAAGTGGAAATACACTTTAAATCATCTGACAAATCAGCCAGTGTACTGGCATCCTTAAAGGCCAACAACTGTAGCTGATAACAATGCTACCTTTACATTAACATGGCATCTTTCCTGCTGGGAATGGCAGTGATTAAGGGTGACATAGTAGGAGCACTGTGTGAATCAGCTGCTGCACAGGAGGAGCCCAGGGTGTGTTTATGTGTGTGTGTATGATGGGGCAGAGGGAGGAGAGAGGATTTCAGCAGTGGAAGTAGGGGAAAGGTTGTCTCCCTCCTCTCTCATCTTGGATGAATTAGCAGGCTCAACACACACAGAAGGATGCAGAGTGCACTGGAGTATGCCAATGCCTTATCACCCAAGGCTCTAATAAGGTGAGATAAACATATGTTAAGCTCAGTGACATAACACTCTAGTACGCTTCTAGCGTGTGTACTTTGTAACAACGTTTTCAATGGTGTCTCTAATCACCATCATTAATATTTCATTGGGGATACATGTCTATATGACATTAACCATACATACATATTGTACTACGGATGACCCCCCCCCCCTTCTTTTTTTTTTTTGCATCGCAGGTTGCTTGCGATAAACCCTGTTCAGGGCTGATGACTGCGATGTGTGCTAATGGCAAAATATCTTGCTGCTCATAGCAACCAATCTGCATATTTGTTTCATTTTTAAACCACTCAGACCAAGCTGCTTCCTATTAGCAATATTTTTTTTCTCCTTGCTACAACAGCGATTCATACATCAGCTCTATTGTAACCTTTCCTAGGGGTTGATTTACTAAAAAAGCTGAATCTTTTCACTAAGAGTGAATGTTCACTGAGCTTATTGAATAGGGTAAAGCTGTGTCACCTGCGTCCTGGTAAAAATGCTGGTTTCTTCCTTTAATTTATCTTGCACACAACTGGATATTTACAGGGGTTTGTCATAGTAAAAGGAATGTTATTAAATAAGTAAATAACTTTTATTCCTAAAGAGAATCCACCCCATGGAGTGTGATTTAGGATCAGCTGTCCTTCATTGCAACCAGATGTATACTACGTCCAATTATTCCATCCCAGGATAAAAAAACAAAAGCTAAGGCTTGATTGGTTGGCAAAGGTTAAAGCCCTGTTTTTCACTTGACCTAGTTTTCATTAACTCATAACTGTATATGTGTGTTCTCAGCTTCTTATCTATCATTCGGTGCTATTAAGTGCATATGTACTGCAGATAGCAATGTAAATGACAATTGCAGGAGGTGGTGGTTTTTAGAGTTGTCTAGATCAGCTGTGCTCAGTCCAGCACAGGTTCTATCTGGCAGGTAATAAGAAACCACTGATGCCCGAGGCAGGATTTAGCAGTTGGATGAAAGCAGGACACAACCCTAAATTTGAATATATAGTAGCATTTTTGCAAATCTATAATTAGACCTGACACCACTGTAGATCGGTGGATACACAACATACAGAAAAATGCTACTGGTGTTTTTACTACAAAACTTGTACTTTTCAACAAAACAATAATTACCTTGCGTACACTTTTTAACCTCAAACACAACTGTTTTGTTGTGTATTGTACCCACTAAACCCGGCTGTGACTGGCTCAGCAGTGGAGTCCACATGGGAGGGTTATCTCGGGGCTAATTCACACCACACAGCGTGCGTATTGAGCCTTTTTTTTTTTTTTTTTAACCCTCTATGTAGTTCTATGCACATTTGGATGCATTGCATGTTGGGTAGCAACCTTGGCACTCCAGATGTGGTGGACCTACCAATCCCATTTTTGCCTCCAGGAGTCATGCTAGTGGCATTCAGTTTAAGAATGCTTCATGGGACTTGCAGTTTCACAACACCTGGAGTGCCAAGGTTGCTTACCCTTTCATTACAGCAATGGAATGTGCTGCGCAAAAATTGCAAAATGTCCTTTTTTTCAGCACTGAAGCCACAGGGCATAAGGCAAATTGCCTAGTTCTTGCATTGGGACTGCGTTGGGCAATGCCTACCAATGCAACTCAACACTGCTAGACACGGGTGCGTATTTGGCCTTTTTTTTTTTTTTTTTTAACCCTCTATGTAGTTCTATGCACATTTGGATGCATTGCATCATGGGTAGCAACCTTGGCACTCCAGATGTGGTGGACCTACCAATCCCATTTTTGCCTCCAGGAGTCATGCTAGTGGCATTCAGTTTAAGAATGCTTCATGGGACTTGCAGTTTCACAACACCTGGAGTGCCAAGGTTGCTTACCCTTTCATTACAGCAATGGAATGTGCTGCGCAAAAATTGCAAAATGTCCTTTTTTTCAGCACTGAAGCCACAGGGCATAAGGCAAATTGCCTAGTTCTTGCATTGGGACTGCGTTGGGCAATGCCTACCAATGCAACTCAACACTGCTAGTGTGAACAAGCCCTCAGTGACAGGCCACCCATAGACCTAAATGGGCTTTTGGATATGCATGCCCAATCCATTGACTGACAAGGAGAAAAGCCAGTGGGTCCATGTGGAACATTCCTATTTGTGTTTTAGGGCCTGTTCACACGACGTCCGTTTTGTGTGCTGACCGGCTCCGTACGCTGCTGCACTCAAAATGCATCCCAATGTATCACTATGTGTTTTGTGTGCTCCAGTTCTCACGTGCACAGTCCGTTCAGCTTACGACAGAAAAAATACTGCATGTCACATTTTGTCAGGTCCGGAAACGGTCAGGAAATGCAAACGCGGCAAAAACGCATAAAAAACGCACGGCACTGCAGCTAACATACTAAGGTCTCATTCACACCTAGGCGTATTGCGTATGCGTGTCTGTCGCGCGGTTTTTTACCGCGAATCGCGGTAAAAGTCGCGCGACAAACACGCGTTTCCGAAGGCTACTTGGCTGTATCCCAATGGAAACGTGCAACAAAACGGCCCAAAGTAGTACATGTACCTTTTCAGGCGTGGGCCGTTTTGTAGCGCGTTAGGGACGGGCGGAAATACGCAAAGGTGAGAACGAGACCATTGAATACAATGGGATTTATATTTTTAAGCGTTTTGTAGAGCGTTCGTCGAGCGTAGAACGCGCTACAAAACGTTCAGGTGTGAACGAGGGCTAACAGCCCCACTCCAGCAAAAAAAAAAATATTTTTTTTTTTTACTTGAACGCATCCAAAAACGCGGCAAAAACGCACTGCATCAGTCTGCAGATCCGCACCTGATCAGGACCTGATATCATGTGAAGAGGCCCTAATAGAGGGATGAGGAGAAGCAGTAGGAGTGCAGGTAGGTTTTTTTTAACCTGTCTAATCGGTGTTCCACACAACAAAATCACCTGAAATGTGACTGCACACACCCCAGTCCTTGCAAGCAATACTCCGGATTTGAGCATGTTGGGACATGTAGTGTTTTGATTTTGAAAAAGTTACATAGTTAGGACATATAGTGCTTCCTTTGGGAGTTTAGGACAGTGAGTGGGCATTGATTGTTTTTCTGCACATCATCACACATATATGGTGTGAACAGGGCACATAGAAAACAATTATTTTCATTGTGCACTCTTCACACCATACATGTGTGGTGATGTGCAGAAAAGCTCAGCACAATGGACATGGTGTGAACAAGCCCTTTATACAAAGACAAGGCTATAAGAATGTTTTGTGTATTCACTAACTGTCATCAGCCAAGTTGGAGAGAAGATGATGGTAAGTCACATAAGCACTGGTATTCATTTGAGCCTGCCATTCTCAGGGAGACATCTGCCTGCCTATGACCAGCCTAAGGGCCTGTGTACACTGGATTTGGCATACATCAGAATAGTTTTTTACCCCATACAGGTCAATGAAATGATGACTCGGCTTACAATGAGGTCAGAAGAATCTTGAAATGTCTCAAAGCTTTAATGTGCCTTTTAAAGTATGCTGTATTTGCCGAGCTACAAACACACTAGGCTGATTTCAGAGGAGCACTTGTAGCGCCACTAATAGTTTGTTTGTTTTTTTGTTTTTTACCACAATAGTGTCCCATAGTAATATACTGGATCTAATAACACTCAGCTTAGTAGTCTGCACCATTTTAAGGGCTTGTCCACACCATGACCATTGAGCTGTTTTTTTTTGCACACCATTGAACATATGTGGTGTGCACATGGTACGTAGAAAACAATTGTGTTCTGTGTGTGCTATTCACACCATACATATCCAGTGGTGTGCAGGAAAATACGCCTAAACGGACATGGTGTGAAGGGACCATTCTCACTGGCCACACACAGCCAACACAACATTTTACCATGCAACTAGTGTTTGCTGAAGTGACAGTGGTGCCTTGCATTGTTGCACAAGGGTGTGTTTAATTCAGGTTCCCGCACACAGCGCAGATGATATAAGAAAATGTCTTCTACCCTCTTGCTTCATTGATTGCATTCTTGTTCTGGGTCTGTAACTCAAAAGTACTAAAGCCATTCACAACAAGGTAGATAACATTTTCAAATGGAGGCCAGCAATGGGAATTTACATATTTCTTCCATGACAGATATACTTTAGATCAGCTTTTTACAACCCAGGGTTTCTCTAGATGATTCTAGTAGTTTCAACTGGTGGCTTAATTTCCCACCTGACAGCTCCTGCAAACGTTTGGTACAGATGTCACTCAACAGAGTCTGCAGTGTTGGACTATCCTCTCGGAGCTCCAAAGAGGAACCACTGGCACCAGTGATCCTTTTTACTGTCTGTAAGGGGGGCATTCTTCCTACCGTCTACTAATGTAACCGGTCATTCTTCCACTAACACCAATGTAAAGGGGGGTACTCTGCCTCTGACCACCAACATGAGGGGAACACTTTGCCTCTAACCACCAACACACGCTGTTCGGTTCCGATCAGCAGGGGATCCATGGACGAATCCCCTGCAGATCGGAGCAGTACATAATGGATGTCACCTTTCCATGTCTGTTATCTTTTTTTTTTTCTTTTTCTTTTTTTTCTACCATCTTGCATTAGATGAAAAAACTGAACTACTGGACTGATGTTAGTTCTATGGGGAGTCGGATGCAAGGGAACGTGTCCATTTACATCCAGTTATCTCCGATCTGTCAGGATCATAGTCCACCAAAATGGAACTCTATTCCATTTTTTTATTTTTTTTGCTGGACCAAGACGGTGTCAGGGGGTAGTCAAATGCAGTGGCGTGACAAGGGGGGTGCGGGGTGACACCAAAAGGACAAAGTCATTTTGGTGTCACCCCCTCTAAAAAGTCAGGCACTCAGTCATGGACCAAGAGCCCGACAGTGTCAGGAGAGAGGAGGGGACCCGGCGGGATACCTCATCCCGCCGGGTGAATGTCCACTCCTCTCTCTACTGGCGTCCATCACCAAGATGGCAGGCGTCAATTAGATGGCCATGCATGCACGATGA